CCCTGATGCTGGGAAAGACCGAAGACAGGAGAAGGGGACAGAGGATAAGATGATTGGATGGCATCACCGACTCAAAGGACATGAGTTTGGGGAAACTCCGGAAGTTGGTGATGGACAGGGAGGCCTGGTGTGCTGCAGTCCATGGGGTGGCAAAGAGTCAACTATTGGGAGTACTGAAAAAACTGGTGTAGCCACTATGAAAACAGTATGGAATGTCTTAAAAAAATTAAATCTAAATTAGAACTATGATATGACCCAGCTATTCCACTTCCAGGTATTTATTCGAAGAACACAAAAACACTAATTTAAAAAGATACATGCCCCCCTATGTTCATTGCAGCACTGTTTAGAATAGCCAAGATATGAAAACAACCTAAGTGTCACCACTAATGGATGAAAGGATAAAGATATGGTATATGTGTGCAGTGGAATATAACAAAGAATGTTACAACATGCAGTAACATTTGCAACAACATGGACGGAACTTGAAGGTATTATGTAAGTGAAATGTCAGACAGAGAAAGTACACTACTCATACGTGGAATCTAAAAAAAATAAAACAAATGAACAAACAAAGTAAAACAAAAACAAAGTCACCGATACAGAGAACAGGTCAGTTGTTACCAGAGGGTAAGTGGGTTGGGCAAAATGGGTAAAGGGGGTTAAGTGTATGGCGATGATTGATGGTAACTAGACTTGTGATGGTCATCACTTTCTAGTGTACATAGATGTTGAATTAGAATGCTGCACACCTAAAAATTTAAATCCTTCAATAGCTGCAAGGTACAGTTCAAACCATTTAACAGGGCAAAACTCCAGGATAGTAACATAAAACCTTAAACATGCTCTCCTATTCTAAGAAAATCCATCTCAGATCTCAGTGGTTTGTAAATCCAGGTACCTCGAGAGAAACCAGTCCTGTTCCCCAGACTGCTTCAAAGGGAAACTTACTTTGACTCTGACCAGATGTCCCTGGGCTGGACGGTGGAAGGTGAGAGGAAACGCACCCCTTCTCTATGGTTCCATAGGCTCCTATGTCTTCCTCTAGCACCCTAGACTGGGACTGCCAGCCTCCCCGCCTGTATTTCTCCTTCACGCCAAAAGCTCTTTGGCAATAGAAACTGAGTACCGGCAGGACTGGCACAGTGTCTCACATCAGACACTCAAAAAGTAGTTGCTAAATGAATGGATATAAAACAAGTAAAGCACGCAGGCACAATATGGAGTAGCAAAAAAGGAATCATCTTCATCCTAACTTTAAAACTTATCTGTAGTTACTACCGAGAGTCAAAAATTCTCTGGGTTTTCTCCTGGATAGGCAAAAAGCTAAGAACAAATTGCTAAGACCTCTTCCCAGTATTCTAGCTCTACATACATCTGCACAGAGCATGTCTAAAATTGTAAGACTAATTTTTAAATGAACACACCAGAATCTGTAAGTGCAAATGAACATCAAGTCCTTTAAACGTAAGTACCATAACAAGTTACTCATTCAATTACGAAAAGCAATTTAAAATTCTGCAGAATTCTTTTTGTTTCCAATTTAAAACAAAACCAAATAGCTTTTTCATTTACAAAAACAACATATAGTTACTACTAAAAATAAATCAGAAATCATAAAAAGAGAAAAGAATTGACCCTCAATCATACAGTCAGAAGCACTGGTGCATAGCCTGGGTACAAGATCGTTCTGAGTCCTCCTGCTATAAACATATTCTGTATGTCTATACTTTCCCCCCCAAGGTTATTCTACACTCCTTCTTTTACTTAATATAGTATGAATCTATTCCCACACACTTTGCAAGCACAGCAATGTGCTGGGTGGCAATACTAGTTTATTTAACTAATGACCCACTGCTGGATATTTAGGTAGTTTATCCATCACTATTACAGACAAATTCTACTCTAAATGTCCTGGTAGTAAATTTTAAACACACAATTATGTCCTCAGAATAAACTTCCAGACATGAACTTTCTGGGAGGAAGGCTGTGCATCTTTAACATTGTTGATTTGTATGCAGTTTTTTTCCCCTTTGGTAACAGATTTCCATCCTTCTGACACTAGATGTAACCACTGGAAGCAGCGGAAAGTCACTGGGGGTCAAGTCTGGTGATTAAAGTGAGCGCTCAAGCTAGGCAATACTATTTTTGGTTGAAAGCCTCTGATTATGCAGCAGTGTGACGGGTTTTCATATGTGACTCAGAACTGCTCTTGAAGGCAGTCACAACAGGAATTCCAAACTGTTGTAAGCAATTGGCTCATTGTCAAACTATGCATGTTATACTTCCTAGAGACACAACTATAAAAGGGATGAACAGAGCTTGATGCTTTCTCAGGAGTCATTCCATTGCAGTTCCATCCCATTCACACATAAAGTCTCAACAGATGAGTCATTCAATTCATTTTAAACATCTGTACTGGTTCACCTAAAACTTAAATATCTGCAGTGTTATTTACCACTCAAAGGACACTTCACATACATTATCTTTTTCATTTTCATATCATCACTAAAAATATAGGTATTATTCTCTCCATTTTATAAATGATGAAATAGAAATTCATAGAAGACAGAATGATTTGCCTAAGGCAACACAGCTGATAAAAGGGAGAGCCAGGAGGCCAATAAGGATCTGCTTAGCTTTGAATACAACCTTCTTTTCATTTTCTGACCCAACTGTCTAGCACCTTACTGTAATTTTTAAATGTGTTACAGGGTCATTCAATTCTTGACTGCTGGGATTAAAATTTCCTAAAGACTCTATCACTACCAGTGAATAATCCTACTCTTTATATAACCTGAATGTAAACTGAACAAAACTGGGGGTACTGCTTATGAATAGGCTCATTTATATTCTTAAGGAAAACTGGCAGTAACTACAAAAACCCATTTATTCAATTTGAATAAAGTAAATATTGATACTAGACTTTACATTTAAAGAGACTTGTCTGGCAAGTGAGTCACGTTTTAACAATAACCATGGTAAAAGGGGGGGAAAAAAAGACCAGTAAGTTAAATAAAAGGCTAATAAAACCTGGAGGAAACAGCTCAGCATTTTCTTTTAAACCCTGAAGAACACCAAACATATATTATGTTGCATAAAGAGTCATTTCAAGAAAAAACAATTAATAACACAATAGCAGAGTCAGTACTAAGAACTTAAATGATATCCAACTCAAAAATGCATAGGGAGAGTAAAGTTATTTTATTAAATCATGCACATCACGTGTGTTAGTGCAAATAGTTTAATCTGTACTCCAGAAATTCTATTGTACTTTATATCTTTACAAAATAGATTTAAACAATTATTTACTTTAAAAAATGTAATTCTGAAGTTAAGCATTTCAGAACAATATTTGCAATAACCTATATACAAGAGGTACTGGGTACCACTGGCATATTAGCATTCTGTGGTGGAGTGGCTTCCTGCAACAGAAAAAGATGAAATGAACTACATGACAGTATTTTCTACAAGTCAATTTGTGACTAATTCCTCCATAAGTCTAGTGATCCTTCCAACAGCAAATCCCAAAGAGCTTAAAATATAACCTTTAAAGTATAAACAATGACTGCCAAACATCACAAGGCAAATTATATCCTAAACTCTACTTCAATATTTGGCCAGGCCTGTGGATTGCCACAAAACATTCAAGCCAGTTCACTGACATTCCCTCCCAGTTTTCATTGACTGAAAAATTTTAACTATGTGATACTTCAGGATATTCTATGACCTAAATAATCTTTATTGACATAACTGTGGTGCCGTACAAAAACCAAAGCTAAACCTTCACTTCCGTGTTTTAAATCTGCAACATCAAGCAGTGCTTAGGTGCTTCACTGTGCATGGAATACTATTCATCTTGGGGATAGTGCTTCTCATTAACAGAATGTCCCAGTTAACAACCATAAAAAGAAAATCACCATTTATATACCCAACCAGGAAATCTGTTGGTAGGTAAAACAGCTCACCTTGAACACAAATAGCTTTGAAATATCATAACCAAATTAAGTCAGTAAAAGCTTATCTAAAGAGATATTAATTCTTTCTTCAATTAAACATGCTTGGAGGAAGAGATGATATGAAAAAAAAAATCATGCTTTCTAAAATTCTGTATATGAGAAAGTAACTTGGCTTTTAAAGAAAAATATCTCTTTAAATACATGAGGTTTAATAAATTACATTCCAATTGACTCAACAGTTTGGTTTACTGCACTGAAACTGTATAATTACTATGTTTTTGCTCCCAGAAATACTTCAGTTTGCTCAAGAAAATACGCACTCTCATGGAAAGTTTTTCAAAGTTGATGTCCTCCACATCATCAAGTCACATTAAGGCTGAACAAGCGTGCACATATTCCCCAAATCATCACTAGAACAGAGTATTTTCCAAGTGTATTTCTCCTTAAAAAAAAAAAAAAAAAAAAAGAATCCACACAAAGAGTTGTATCTAAGTCTTGTTCCCAATAGCTCAGTGGTTTTATAACAAGTAAAAATGGCGTAAATATGTAAAAAATATATATATATGTGTATATATTTCAAACTGATAGGCACTGAGCACACAGGGCCTCTCTTCCCATGTACGTATCAGTTGTTTGGTTTGGGTAGTTATCGAATCAAAAACAGAAAGAAAAAAAAAAGAAAGAATTACCTGGCCATTAGAATTCAGAGTAAAATACCCATAAATTTAATGTTATAAATAATTTGGTGTACCAAGAAGCCTACTTTAGGCCACCGTAATATTCAGAATTTAAACATACTCATTTAAAAATTACATGAAAAATTGCAAGCAAATTATTGCTTACAGTAGAAGAGTCACAATTTTATATCCTCTTTATAGACAGATACATTTTATATACTTTAAAGCAATGACCCTACAGCTGTATTCTTGAACTTCTGCTGTTTTAAGAGGTAAAAAGGAAGAAAATGGTTCTGTTTGTCCCCAGCATGAGTGTGGTGCCAGCTTCTAGAGGGAGGACGGTGTACGGACTCAAGAAACGCTCTCATGGAGAAGCTCTGGCCAGACCTGGCACGTACAGCACGATGGCTGTCACCGCGACCAGGGCAGCCAACATGGGCATCCAGGGCCAGGGTTTCTGTGTGGAAAGAAACCAAGAGTCAAAATCACATTCTCCCCTCTGTTTTTTCATACCTATTAACCCCTTGGTTCCACAGAATCCTGAATACTTAACAGAATATTAGAGAAACCTTGTATCTGCATAAGAATATTATAAAAAGAAAAGAAGAAAAGGTGAGGGAGTGAGGATGTGAGGAGAGCCAGAATAGCAAGAACTTTTAGAGGACCACTGTGTGGAAGCCTAGTACATTTTGGGAGAGTCGTGGGCAATTTTCAATTTTGTTTGAAGCCTAACAGCAACTTGTCTAAGAAACTCTCAGAGTTGAGCCTGTTTTATTTACTCTGATGTCCACATATTCAGCTAACTGATGTACATAGATTCCTGGAGTATGTTTCTGCCTAAAATGTTTATTTCTTGATAAAAACCAGACTCACATGTTGGCGTGGCTTTGTACAAGGGGCTGGTGGGTAAGGTGATAGAAAACGGTCAAAAGTTTTGATCGTCTAGTCTGAAACTATAGAAGACAAAATCAGAAGGGGTTCAAAACAGAAAAGTGATATTAAGGTCCTTGCCTGTCTGATGCTGTTGGTAAAGACCACGTCCAAGGGTAATAATGCCACACAGTCGTCCTATATGCTGCACTAACCTGTATGTTTGTTGGAGGCAAGCATGAATAGGCTGTTCTCTGTGAACTATCAGAGGGCTTTACAATCAGTTTGTTTTGTTTGAAAGCCTTCTTTTCACTAATGTTTTAAGTCATACTGGGAAAGCTGGCCTTTAAAGAAATATTGTAATGTTGCAGATCAGGGCTCAGAAAGACATAGGATTGGTTGACACTCTCACAAGGAAGTGCATATTGAAGTTGGGATTGTGAGTCACTGTCCATTATGTTACTCTCTCATCCTTTTTCATCTTCTTAGCCACAGTGTATATAGGCAAAGGGTTGAAACAACGAAATTCTACACTACGGAAAAAAAGAGGGAAGAGAGGAGGGGGGAGGAAAGCTTGCTGAAAACTTCAAAGAGGCAAACTCTTCATTTTTCATTCAAATCTGATTAAACATAATTGGGAAGGGGGTACTAAGTTGCAGCAACTCATAGTTTACTCCAGTTTGCTAGAGACAAAGACTCAGTTAAAGGCAGCATATTAACATCTGGTTAGATTGGAATTAATTCATGGTTAGCGTTACTACAAAGGAAACAAGACAAAATGTTATGTGATTAGTTCAGTTCATTCGGTATGACACAACACGGAGCATACTAAATGAAGGGTTTGCTTCAGGTAACAAAATACCTGTGTGGTTTTGCCATGCACTATGTTACAAATATGGCACGAACAGGTGACGGGGACAAACAGACAAGGACTCAACAGCAGTGCTTGTACCTTTCTCTACCACAATGGACCGAAACACCAAAACAGGAAAGCCAGGAATAGGCCGATGAATACGGCTGGGACGGGTTGTAATATGGAAGGCTAAAGAAGGGAAGGGATATTAAAATCATTTTATGCTACAAAAAAAATCAGATAAGATGATGTAGAACCCAGGGTGGGTGGGAGGGAGGGTAGAAAGACATTTTAAAGACATCTAATATCATCTAGAATGATGGGCCAGGGTAGGTAAGCTGGTAAACTACCAGTTTTAAAGACTAGCTGGAGGCAATGTGGGTATCCCTAACTGCATAATGAAACACAGCACTTTAAGACAGAGCGATGAAAATGCCTCGTCAACTGACGCTCTGCTTGACAGTATGGTATTTTTGTTCCATACTTGGAATCTGTTATTTGACAATGTACTCCTTTGGAAAGTGCTAAGGTTTATCTTATCCCTTTATCAAAACTTTTTTTTTTTAAACCTAAACTCTTTTGCTTGAGACAGTATTGCTTTCAAGCTTAAAAATAAATGCCCTGTGATACACAGTTCCTAAATCAAGCAAGAGATCTGACGCAATGTATGAGAAACGTTTAGTATATAAAGACAGGCAACTGAGCCTCCGGGCTTTTGGTTATGTTACCAGAACAGAAGTAACTTTTAACTTTCATTTTACCATTGTTATTATTTTGGCGGTGCCTCGTGGCACGTGGGATCTTAATTCCCTGCCCAAGGACTGAACTCGTGCCCCCGTGCAGTGGAAGCACGGAGTCCTAACCAGTGGACAGCCAGGGAATTCCCAGTAATTTTTTTTTAAACTGGAAGGGAATTACTACAATGAGTGTTATTATAGAGTAATATTTAATTACTGTAACTCTAATATAAAAATAGGAAATTCACCCTTAAAGTAAATTATTTGTAGAACTGTAAATATTAATAGCAAGGCTACTTTCAAAAAGGTTCTAAATCATACAGAGGGATCCATTCTGATTATGCTAGATGTCTTCACAGGTTAATTTAGTAGAAGGTGGACTGAAATTCCAACATCAGAGAGATATGAATTAACATAAAAGAGAGAAGTAACCAAACCATTATGATCTGATTTCAGATGAGTTCTGTAATTGACATTTTTACAACAAATGCAATCCATTTTTGCTTATCATAAAGCCTCCATAACCAATTCATCAATTTCTGAAAGGCTTCCACCTGGGCAACAAGTCTTTACTTATTTATTTATTTTAAACTCAAACTTTCTTTAAGCAAAGGACAGTGGGCACAACTCAAGCATTCTGAGTGTGACTGTGTAACTGGGTGGCCATGCAACAGTACCCCTTGGTACTTGTGCTGCAAGTTAAAGCAGAGTGCCTTCCTCCATGGGAAGTGTGTGGCTCACACCCACTGCAGTGTCCAAGCCATGACAGGGGTTTGAAATCAGTCAGAGCACAATCAACCACACTGAACATCCATCAGTTAGGGCCCACAAAGGCAATGATCACTAAAACGTGTAACACGACATTTATTTAGTATAACATCTTTCAAAAGACCATCTGCCTTTCTGGCAAATGAAATACAAATTAATACTGTTAAACTCAATTTATACCACAATGTTCTAACTGCATACACACACACAAACACATACTCACTCACACAAAGCCCTACAGAAACTCACTAATACTTCCAAATATTTATAGGAGGCCCAGAAGCCACTAAGCTTTTTAGGAATGTGCCTCAGAACATGATTAGTATAGAATGAAAACCATCATTAAGTCTCCATTTTTGATACAATCAAATGCTAAGGAGTCACCATGTATTATTCTTGCTTCAGTGGGTCCCTGGTAGTACAGTGCTTTGTTTCCCAGGGCGGGGAAAACAAGGGCTAGATGAGGCTTAGTGGCAGAACTTCAGATTTACCTAGGAAAAGCTGGCAGTTCTTAGCTAAATTTCTTTTTTTTTGCAAACAAGGCTCTTCCTTCAGGTAGTCCTTAGGCTTTTCTAGGGGTACAGGCTAAGGGGGCAAATTCTTACTCAAAAACTTTACAGCACAGTGATTCCATCATGGAATTTCATAATGAAAAGCTTGGTTCATGTGTACTACAGGTCTTAGTTTCTCAAATCAGTTATAAGTCTTCTGAAAAATCAACTTCAGGGCTCTCGCCTGCCTCTCAATCAAAGCTAAGCCACGTTTGCAAAGACTTACATTATTTCCTTTCTCTCGGAGCAGCTTCAGGTTGTCTTTACATTGTTTGAGCTCATCTGTGATTGACTGTTTTTCCTGCTCAGTCATTTCAAACTTCAACTTCAGTTCTGAGAGTACAGTCTGTGTCTTTTCATACTAAAGGCAAAGAAAAAAGAGTGTGCAGACTCAACTTAAAATGGGTATGAAGTTATGTGTTTAGTCAGGCTTAAATACCAGACCCTGTTTAGTCACCTGCACCACCACAGTCAAGCGTTTTTGTTATAAGGAGGATAAGGATCATTTGCAGTGATAAGAAGAAGCCTTTAATGTTAGCTTGATTCTATGTAAGAGTTTTCTGGCCTTGGCATTTAAAAAAAAAAATTAAGAGAAGTCACCATTGTATCATGTGTTTCTAATATAAGGTGTCACTTTTTCCACTAAGTGAGTTAGAGGAGAAAAGTAAAATTCCAAACTGAGCAAAAGGAAAGCAAGTGAAGAGAAACTTCCATAGCCTAATTAAATGGCAAGTTTCGGAAGTCTGAGTTTATATCCTGGTAAGTAATGTCAGCCAAGTTATTTTAGTCATGAAGTAATAACTTTTAATTCTCATTAGACCTCCCTTTACCCAGCATCACTGTGTATTAAAGTGTTCTGGATAAGGAATGTCTAGGCAAATGAAGCAGAGAAATATTATCTAAGGTAACAATCACTATGACCGGGACATTTCTCTCTCCTGACTTAAGACTTAGAAGCATCAATGAAAAATAACTTAAGAAATCTGCTGCTGATATTTTTCTTTAGTGAAACACGCCACCTCCTGCTCGGGAAAACAGTTCACTGTATATAACATTAATTTTGGACAGGCAATCTAGCCCTTGAACATGGGTGACATCAAGGTAAAAAGAAGGATGGTTTGCCCCTACATTAAATGCCCCAGGAGGCAGGAATTCGAGACTGGCTTCACTTCTAGATACAGCATCTTCCATGCAAGCTGAGCTCTCTAGCAAAGAGCAAACATTGTTCTGCTGCTGGCTGTGCCTTTGTCTCGGCCTCCACTGTCCAACTCTGTCATTTCTGAAAGTTTTAGAAGGCAGACAGGCAGACAAGGGCTGAGTATAACATAAATATACCACATGTCTGGCATACCAGAAAGATTTCTTCTCTTCCCTAAACACAGCCCACGAGGCTGAAAATCCAGTTCCTTTCTGGCTGTATCCTAGGAATTTCTCAATGAAGGTACACCTTTATATGGTGCTTCTGAATAATGCAAACATCTTGGAGGGATATATCAGGCATTCACCATTATGCACTCCAAAGATAAATATTACAGATGCAAATGTGGAAAAACATTAGTCAGAAGTGATGTGGGCAGGGGCTTAGGGTCAGCAGCGAATTCACCACAGCAGGAAGAAAGACACGGGTAGAGAGGGAGGTAAAATATGAAAGGAACTCCCTGTTACCTAACCACATTCCCAGAAAAAGTTTGGGTAGTATGCCAGAGAAAAAACTTAAGGAGTAAGATTCATGGACTTCATGACAGGTTTGTTTTTTTTTTTCTTTGTGGGGTCTGTGTACTTCCTTCCAGAAGGCAGAAGGTTACTGGCAGGCTGCCAAAACAAATTCAGTGTACCTAGACTAGTCTCTGCACAAAGTCTCTTAGAACATAATCAATTCTCAATGATCTGATTCCTAAAGTGACTAAGTGAAAAGTGCTTTGCTGATCGAAATTTTCCCTTACTTTCCTTTTCCACCATTCCTACATCCAGCCTGCACTGTACACCAAAGCACTTCATCATTTCTCCATTACAGAAGTTGTGAAGAAAGACAGGAAGGCAGCTTAGTCAGGAAGATCCTGCTGTTTACCTTCAGCTTGTGAGGGAGGGTGGGAAGGACTCTGGCCCCAGGGTTAGATGGTGAAGCTAAACAACTTCCCTGAGTCAGGCTTTGTAGGGTGGCCTTGGGTACTCAATGTTTCTTAAATTATAGATATTCCTACTAAGTCAAAATATTCAGATGCTTTCTTAATTCAAATATTAAGATGGTATATCATTATTTTTCTCTAAATATTGAGGAGTAAATTTTACTTTTCTCATGTACTTTTTGTTAAATGTACTTTTTTTAGTTCAAAAAAAAGCTGCCACATATTTAAGATTTAATTGTCAAAACAAAGGTCACCTTCTACAGCCTTAGTTTCACATCTTGTTTGGATATCATTTTGCTCCATCTTGCTTTCTAACTCAGAGGTGAGAAACGAGCTCAGGTCTGGTTAAGATGGAACTACCACACAATATTACCAACACCTTTGGTTCTTCTTAAAAATAATCATATCTGGGCTTGCTCAGTTTGTGATATTTTAGCTTGTGACAGTACTGAAGATACAGAATCATTATACTGTGCACATTAAGTATGATTCTATGAGAGAAAGGAGAAAAAGCGGAAATGTTGAAAGGGAATATATGTGCATTAATAAAAGGTCGTAATTCATTTGCAGTGGATTACACAGATAGAAGAATCTCATTAAAGAACGTTTTAGTTACAGACTAGTATCCAAGAGTTGACATCAGGACAAACGGAAAGAAAAGCAGTTTTACATTACAAAGGAGCATGATGACTACACATCATTTCATAATGAAAACACTGAACAAGAAAATAGAAGAGAAACATATTGACGAGATCAGACATATTTTTAAATGTGCTGCATTTAATGCAATCCAGAGGCTATCAACAATTTAGATGCTGTGACAACATGCCACTGCCATTTGTGGGAACAGTCAAAGCATTTTGCACTGATCGCTCAGTGACCAAAAACAGGCAAACAAGCAATGCAACAAAATGGCTAACGCATTCAGAATAACATACAATAGATTTATCTTCCAACCACAGCATTCTTCCCAGATTTTGAAAGAATTATGGCATGTGGACTGGAAGGACACAAAGTGCTTACAGTATTAAATACTAGGATATTTACTTTGGCACAGAATTTGTGTTCCAACCAAGTAAAATGAGATTTCTCCCAAAACACATATCCTTAGCAAGAAGATAAAAATGAACATATTACAAAATCAATATGGCCACATGTAAATAAAAAATGTTACAGTTTTGTGGGGTTTTTTTTTTTTTCCCCTTTAGGAACAAACATGAAGACAGAAGAACAATAATCATTTCCAGATTCAGGATACTATAAGGAGAGAAGAAAAATGCAAAGAAAAACTACATTGATTAAACAGATCTTCTAAAACAATCTGGGGAAAACTTGTTATTGAAGACAAAAGAGTTGTCTTCAAGTTCCTTCTGTTTTAAAACCAATCCTTCATTTAAGAGGGTCTACAACCAGGGTAAGTTCTGCCAAGTAGATGGAAATGAATCAGCCTTCTCCACCCGCTAAGCTGGCTACAAGTCAATGCAGGTAGTAGTATTAGGCCAAGAGGACTGATTGCAGCTCTTACTGCTCCACAGTCAACCTCGACCATGCCTGTGTGTGTGTGGGGAAGGGGCTCCAACACCAACCCTCACTATTTTAAGTATGATCTTTTTTTTAAGCCACCAAAGTTGAGATTTTAAGCAAAATGACATGAGAAATGAGCATGCCTATTTGTGAAGGAGAAAAAAGAGATGGGGGAAAGAAAGGAAAAGGTCACAAACATGATGAGTTTGGCTGACTGGGTATGAGCTGAGTTTTTTCATAAGCAACTTTTCAGGCCAGTTTCACCTGAGGGGTTTGGACAGCATTATGGGGTGGCCCCAGTTTACTTTCCAAAAGTCCCCTAAATTAAATGTGATACTATCTGGAAAGATAAACAATGAACTGAGTAATCTGGTACAAAGGTCAACTAACTGGTACAGAAAACCTTTTAATGTAACTTTGTATATTTATATTTTGAGACCAAACCTTACTGATAAATTTTCTACATATGGACCATGATACATAGCTAACAAATCACCAGGCAGAGATACTTCCAGTATCAACTCTGTGGCAGGTAATGCTTCCCTTTATTTCTAACTAGCATGAATATCTGATTTGCTTTTGGCTTTAAGTCCAACCATAATTGGGCTCATAATGTCTTTTCGCTTTACCTCTTTCTGTACATCCTTTGCTTGGTTTTCAGCCTTACTGAGAAGAGTTTTTAAATCAGCTGAATCCCGAAGATGCTGTTCTTTTAAGGATCCCACTTGATTTTCAAGCTCTTTCCTGGTCACCTGCAGGATGCTGAGATCACTGGTAAGCTCTAAACTCTGCTTCTGCGAACTGCAACAGAAATATTGACAATTATTCATGCAGAAACCAGACACAGCAGGAAGTTCAATTTCTTTTATATTTATACAACTGTTACTAGGCTGGATGGAATGGATTTCAGAGGAGGAAAGAAAAGTGTGGAAAAAAAAAGAATGATATTTTCAAGAAGTAAAAAAGCATTAAAACACTAAAACAATGAAAGTTTAAAGCTGTTTCCTATTTTCAGATAATCAAATACATGCAAAGGTTGAAATTATAAAAAAAGAAGTAGAAGGTGACTGTATATTTTGTCATATCACATTATATTCACTGTATCATAAAAATATTCAGTGTAGGTCTTCTACAAGAAAAGAAAGCACATATTTCAACTAGTTTCTTCAAGTACTTGACAGATAGGATGGCAAACAGAAACTTAAAAGTCTAGGAGCCAGTTCCAACTTTAAATAAAGATAAACCTACTGAAATGAGAAGGTACCAAAATGAGAGGAAAACACAAAACAAAGGACCAGGATGGTTGGGATGCAGACCTCAGATCTGCCACTATTTAGTTGTGGGATATTGAGCAAGTCGCTTAACTGGTACCATTTCATTCTCTGAGTAAGCCTTTCCTGACCTCTTAGATCTGTGCCAGGCACTGTTCACACAGACACAAATAACACAAGGCGAGTTTCAGTGCCCTCCTTGGTCAAACAAGAAGACTGAACTCAATAATTGCTGAGGCTGTTTTCCAGCTTAAATCCTGTGATTACTGTTACAACTTGATGTAAAAAAAAAAAAAATCACATTTACTCACTAGGAAAACCTTTTGACGAGCATCAGGAGAAATTCTTTGTTCATACAGAACAGATTTACGGACACAGCAGGGGAAGGAGAAGGTGGGACAAATGGAGAGAGGAGCACTGAAATATATACATTACCATATGTAAAACAGATAGCTAGTGGAAAGCTGCTATAAAGTATAGGAAGCTCACCTCAGTGCTCCGTGATGACCTAGAGCGGGGGGATGGGGTAGGAGAATGGGAAGGAGGTTCAAGAGAGAGGGAACACATGTATACTTGTAGTTGATTCATGTTGATGTATGGCAGAAGCCTACGCAATGCTGTAAAGCAATTATCCTCCAATTAAAAGTAAATTTTTTAAAAAAGGAAATTCTTTGTTCAATTCCTTCTACATCATGGACAACAAAGAAGAAAAGACCTGTACAGTGTAGCTGTGTTAAAAAATTTGGCTCCCATCTACAACAGAAATAGCTAAAGGAGGATAAGGTTTTCGAGAATCACAGTTATATGCCTCTCAGGATGGATCATAAGTCTCAATACTGTACCTGAAGTACTATAGAGTATAAATCTCATGCTGATTGGATGCTAAGCAGATCCTAGGTATGAATGTGATGTTGTTAGGGGAATATAGCTAGGAACTAAACAGCATGTAAGAAACTGTAAAGAAAGACTAGTTTCTAAATACTACTCAAATGCTGGGGTGGCTTAACAAATAAATTAAGAGAACTATTAAACCAAAAAATTTAAAAAGCAAAATTAATGTCTTAAATAGTTTATATGAGTTTAGACAGATAACTTGACCACTGATAATCCAAACGTCTGGGGCCTAATATTTTTAAATCATATGCTTCTAACTCATAAGGAATTTGTAGGATTGCTTTTCAACATTTAAACAAAACTTGGAAGTAATTTTAAAAATAGCATTTAACAATCTGCTAGATTTCAATTTATCATATCTCAAAAATAAGGGATCAAGTCTGAATCTTTAAAATATCAAATATTCCAAAACAAGAATAATTTAAGATAATCAATACTGGTAATCAAATATCATTATTTCTTGCGTGATAGAATACCAAACTAAATGGATTCACCAAGATCCAAATGTATTCCAAATATGAAGAACCTGACTGTCTATATCATCTTACACATATTTTATACCAAATATTTTGCCCACATGTTCTGTCAACTGATGATCAGCTGATACTAATACATATAAACACATGTGTGTGTACGTGTCTGTGAGTGCACTCATTTATTTGTTTGTTTGTATTTTGGGCCATTATTTTGTCCTATTCATATTCTGAAATAGCTTTTACAAACTTTCATGTTAAAAACAAACATGTGTTTTATTCTCTATTGTTAATTAACTCTAAACATTCCAAGAGGAACACGCAAAGAAAAGATTATGGAATGGTAAGACACTGGAAGAGAAAAAAGTGCTTTAAAAACACTGATATTAAAAAAAAAAAGATACTGATACTGACCACATGATATTATAGGAAGGAGTTTTACAGAATAAGTCAGTACATCTTGCTCCTTCAATTAGTTCTTGATTTTTTAATATATAACCAATATTGCAATTGCCTTTGTTTTCATAAGAGTTAATGAGGAATGCTATTTTCTGATACATCTAATTATCATTTTTCCCTAAAGCGTATTTTCTATGAGAACTGACCTTGATCACTGAGTTTTTGCCAACCTTAATACTCTTCAGGAGCATAAGCAGAAGGCTAACAAGAGAGTAATGACTCGAGGTTTCGGCACACTGAGGGGAGGGCGACAGTTTAAAGAAGGGCTCAATAATAAACATGTACTACCTTCAGGTGTGGGCTTCTCGAGTGGCTCAGACAGTAAAGAATCTGGCTGCAGTGCAGCAGACCTGGGCTCGATCCCTGGGTCGGGAAGGTCCCCTGGAGGAGGGGACGGCGGAATGGCTCCCCACTCCAGTACTCCTGCCTGGAGAATTCCATGGACAGAGGAGCCTGGCAGGCTACAGGCCATGGGGTTGCAAAAATGTGACTGAGTGACTAACACTTGCACCTTCATATTCTGAATTAGACTATAAACACAGCTTAAATAAAAAATATGGAATCAAAATGGGTCAAATTATAAAGGAAGAAATAAATGTTAAACTATGCAATAAGTGCTGGTAAGAAAACAAGATTCTACTAAATTTGCTGGAACAAATCTACTGCATTCATTGGTTTGCCTGTAGGGTACTGGATATTATGACAGATTTAATTGGTTTTAGAGCATTTTTGATCTTATAGATTATTACTCTTTACATAACCCTGTTTGATAAGGAAAAGTTGATTCTGTGTCTTTGAATAATATAAATTCTTTTATCACAGCCATCTTCTGATGAACCTTATAAACAGAAGGGATCACTGGCATGAAAGAAAAAAACAAACTTGCATTTGAAATTTATTATCATTTAGCTTAAAGGTGATTTTAATCATAGATCATTTGCTGCTTGTTTAGAGCTTTGGGAATGGGGGTGGGAAGGAGGCATTTAATGAATCTGTATTCCATGAGTACACCCAAAAGAAAGGACACAGAGGTGGTGCCAGAAAAAAAGTGCTTAAGAACTCATTTAGTGGGGCTAACCTACTACATAGCCAGAAAAGAGTCTGGCTGAAAGTTTTGTTCCAAAAGGTATTTAAGTATCAAAACTAAATTAAATTTAGATGAAAAGCTAAGATACAGAAATATTTTGAACCTAAATAAGAGTTCATGCATACTTGTGCAATTCTTTTTCTTGCCGCTGCAGTTCTGAAGATAGCAAAACATTTTCCTTTTTTAGAGAACGGCATTCGGTATCCAATACATTCCATTCCTTTCTTAACTTCTCTAGTTCACCTAAAATAGTCCCAAAACACATTTATTAATATAGGAATGTAACTATTTTTTCCCCCTTAAAAAACAAAGATTTTATATGGCTTTTCCTTGATTTCTGTTACTTTGCAGTTATGCCTCAGGGAAGTTCTCATCACCCTGAACTTCAGTAATATTTTTTTTCCACTTCACTTTTACAAGACAAATAATTTTTAATAGTATTTAAATAAATGTAAAATTGCTAATTTTTTCAATTCATTGTAGAGCTTACAGATGTGAAGAATGTTTATAGCCCCAATATAAAAACATTGCTTTTATACAATCAATTGTTATGGAAGAGAAAATTAACCTGACTGGGTTATTCAGTACAAGTTATGAAGTTATCAGTGTAAGGCATGAAGAGCTCTACGTAAAGTACATTTCTCACCTTGCAGCCTGGCTGCTTCTTCCCTCTGCTGGTCCTCACATTGTTGACACCGAAGCTGAAAGCTATTTTGCAAACTCATGATTTCTTTCTCATATTCAGATGCTGCTTTCCGCCACCGCTCAAGCTCAGCTCGCACTTTCTTAAGCTCTTCTTGTAAAGAGGCAATGTCAGTGTCCCGCTCAGAGGCAGCCTTTTCTGCTGCTTGATGAAGGAGTAAAATTTCATCTCGGGCACTAAGCAATTCATCTCGAGTACTTGCGATTTCACTATCCTTCTCCTCCCGGAGATTCTCAATATTGATGTGTAACCTCTGTAGTTGGGCTACAAAAGTATAGTTACTCATCATTTTCTTAGTCCATGTAATCAGGAATAAAAGAACAGTCCATATGGGACTGTAGTTACTGCACAGTCCTGGCTGACAGAGCCGTTTTGTTGCTTTTGATTAAACTGTATGAGCAATCCATGTTTAATGCATAAAACATCAAAATACAGAAACACAAAGAGAGGAAAAAAGCTCAAAGTGATCTTTATTTCCCCCACACACAGAAAATTACTTTTAACATTTGGTACTTATTTTCCCAGACTTTTTTCTAAGCATTTATACATATATAAAAACAAAAATTGGGAGTGATCATAATAAATACAGTGCTCTCTATGCTGCTGGTGATAAATATTTTTTAACGACAAAACAGCTATATTAACTTTCTTCACTAATCCTTTATTTCAGATATATTACGCTGTTGAGTTTTTAATTACTCATGACAATACATCTTATAATGCAATCTTGATTTTTTCCTTCCATAAGGGTGAATTCATAGACACAGAACTGCTTGGTCAGATGGTAAACATTAATAAAACCTCTGATATTTTTAACTCAATTTTCTTTTGAATTGTCAATTACTTAAAGAAGTTTTCTCTGATAGCTTATCTAAAAATAGTCCACTGTCATTCTCTAGTCCTTTGCTCTTATTGGCTATCACATTATATACGTATTTGCTTTTGTTCATCTTTTTCACTACACTGTACATCTCATGTATACTACCCCCAAGACTAGAAGAGTAAAGAACCAAGGATTATCAGTTGAATTAATGAATTAATAAAAGCTACTGAATACTGCCTAGTCAGAGGTATATTTTTTAAAGCTCTGGTCTTGTTGATGTGAACTGGAAACAATCTGTATAAAATCATACTGGGTTCAGAACTAGAATACTGGTCTTGGTTACTATAACACAAGAAAATTATAGGTATAAAAAAATTCCTTAGGTAGAAAAGAACAATTAAAATAAGAGGATTTCAGCCTGGGGGAGGAAGAGGTTGCCTCATAAATAAACAATAAATACTAGACCATTTAAGTTTGTGGAAGCAGTAAGAGGTTAACAACCTCAACATCTGGAAGGGCACGATGGCCAGGGATTACATGACCATGGATTTGTGGATAAAATCATGAAATATACATGCTGGCACTAGGGGGCACTCAATGATGCTCATGTAAGGCAGCTTTACCACAAGAGGCAGCACTACATCACAGAACTTCAGGGATAACTGCCCATACACAGTACAGGATGGAAATACAAATATAAGGTAGATTTATGTAAATTAATGGATAATAGCATTAAACTGTAATAAAACTGTGAAGAACGCTCATGAATTTAAAAATTCATCTACCCATCTACCCCAGAAATTCTTGTTTGACCATACTACAATTAAATTTTTGAATGAAATGTCCAACTCAAAAAGAAGAAACGAAAACCCAAAAGACTGATTTTTCTCTGGGTATTTTAGGGCAAATACCCTAGGCCTCACACATTGACTCCCCATTCCATCTCAACAGGGGTTACCCATCTATTTAATTTCTTTTTACCCTGCCACTCAAAAAAATATTTTAAAATAACATTGGTTCCTTCTCTGATGATGAAGGCAAATTAATTTTACTTTAGGGATTTTACAATGGCATGGGAAAGACATCTCCTGGAGTATCTCACAGTTATAGCCTCAAAGTACCAGGAGCTCTGGTTCAAAGAAAACCCTGGACAGAGAGGTGTCTTTCAGGTTGTTTCTGTAAAGACTCTGACAGCCCAGACAAAGAGACAGCAAAACATGAAGAGCAGCCGTTACCAATGAAGGCAGTGCAGGGACCACTGTTCTGTTCCATGAGGTAAACAATTTTTGCTGCAATGCAAGTGTGCTAGGAGCATTAGAAATAATATCACCAACAAGCTAAAAGTGCTGATGCACCGACCGACTCAAATTGATATCCTGTCTGAAGGTCTCCTCTATAGTAAGTCACTATGTAACCCAGAAAATGACAGTCTTACAAATTCATATCTTCACTCTTGCTCTCCCCACTCCAAGTGGGAAGTACTATTGTAGTACTAGGGAATGTTCCCTTAAAAAAGAAAAGAAAAGGCCACCAAGAGCCAGTTACAGTCTCAGATTCTAGGGAAGAATCAAAGCCATGAAAAATGGGGACCCTGTGCAGTCTTATTTTCCATTTCTTTTGAATCACTACAAACAAACAAACAAACAAACAGTAACAATCCCAAATAGCCCTGAAGTGTTCCATACCTTGAAGAACCTGTATTTGTTTACTGGATTCCTCAACTTGATTTCGATAGGCTTTTCTTTCTTCTTCCAAAAGAGCTAGAAGTAAAGTACAATATGTCTAATTTTGTGATTTAATGAAAATATTCAGAATTGAGCAACTGGAAAATCCTAAGAAACTCTCTCCTAAAGCTCATGAAAGGAAACAAAAGTTAGGCAGTAAGTATTAGCAGTATTAGCAATCAGGTAGTTTAAGATTTTTAGGAGCACAAAACAGTAGTAAGTCAGTAATAAATGTATCAACTGAAAGGAGTTTTCTATACCTTATATGGCTGAGATAATATATGCTGTTTTTTACTTGAGAAGCATTCTTGATAGCTGTTAATTAACATTGTGAGCTTAAATTTGAAAACCAGACTTAGAATCTTCATGTTCACTGCCAAGTACATAGTAAGTACTTACTGACAGGAAGTCCACGGTTCCCTGTGGGATGCAAATCTTCCTCCTGGTGAGGAAGGCCATTTTAGAGAACATGAGGATTCTAAGACTTTGTAAGATACTAATCGACTGCAACTAGATAACTACTGTGAATGATACAAAAAGGTTAGCTCTAGGGGACAGCACTGACTCCAACTGGCATATGACTGCATAGATAAGTGAGGTACTAGAATAAAAAGTGGTTGGGACATTTGAAGATTCTCTAGCTTAACCTTGCCTGGCTCCTCTCACTTACTTTAGCATACACTGTAAGCCTGCAGGGAATATAAATGTCCCTTATCTTATGTTGAGTAGCTAATATTAGGTATAATTAAAATTTAGAAATTAATATTTCTATGTTTTTCTCCTTCTACTGTACTTAATATGTAATTAACTCTTAAGATCTTTCATTGGAACATGTCTTTCTTGATCTTCAGAAGAAGGTCATACCACTGTAACTGTCTCCACTTTACTGATCTGAATCATAAGCTCAGAGAGGATAAGTAAAATCCCAAGATCACATATCTAATAAAGTCATGGATTTGGAAGAGGATAACTATGCCTCTGGACTTGGGGCCATTCAGTAATATCTTGTTGCTTTCACATCCCCTGAAGAGTCAAAGTAATCTTGATCTCACCTTGAAGTTCAAAGCATTTTTGTTTACTTGATCTAGCTAGTTCCTGGGCTTCAATCAACTCCTTGCGAAGATGCTGAATTTCTTGTTTTGCCTCAATTTCTGACTGTGCACCCTGCAAGTCATCTGACAAAAATATGTTTATTTTAAAAGCAAGAGTTAGTATGATATCATAATCTCTACAAACAAAGATTAGCAATCTTTCCCATGTTTAGACATGCATAGTTAACAACACAGCACAACTAAGTTTAATAAAATTTAGAAGCAAATTATATTAAGCATTTTAGTCATTTTACCCTGGAGAAAGAACACAAATATAATTAAATATATATTTAGTAATTAATGGCAATGGTACTATAAAACATATACTAATGTATAATAAATTGTTTTACTTATGTAAGGCTTATGCAGAATTTATGTAAGGCTTGATACTTAGTAATATGAACATAATTCTATTCTAATTCAATTTTGAAATTTCTTGATAACAGGTCAGAAATTTTTCACTTGCAACTTAACTGGAAATGGAAAAACAGAGAGAAACTTTTCCTCAAGAAAAAACATTTTAGCATGATTTCCCCAGTTGTGGAATACAAAATAAAAACTAAGCTGAAAGCTCCACTGTGCTTACTCTCTCGTCACTGCTTCCTCAATGTCACATACATAACAAGCAAATATTCATTTAGTTATTAAATAATAATAACGTAGTGATCATATCAAAATACATTAGAACCAGCATTACATCTCAAATAAACTCCTTCCCTCCTCTCTCTCTAGTCACTCTGCTCGTCTTTCATTGTATTAAAACTTTCTACTACTGAACACTGCCTGAAATAAATGCATCATCAGGGAGGCCATGCTCTTCTAGTATATTCTATTATTCTATTCAACTATTGCTTTGGTTTACAATAGCTCAGGCATAACAACTTCAATCCACCAGAAAAGAACTACAAATAAAATTTCATGATGCAAACACAGCAGGTCTAAGATATTATAAACATGTGTTTTCATCCTCATATCTTACTCCTCCCTGTCAAAAATTCTAACTCTAGGTTCATGTACTTTAGCCAGTCTATCAATTCTTCCTTCGAAAAGTCATGGTAAAGGTGGAGGAAAAGCAAGGTGCATTATCATAACAACTACAAAATTTCTCTTTCAGCATCACACATGGGAATCTGCAAAGGTTCTAGCTGCCCATCTCTGGATTTGTCATTATACAGGATAACGTCCTTATTTTTTAGGAGTATTAAAGTAGGAAGTGTCATGATGCCTTTATCTTTTTTTTTAAGTTCATTTACAATGTTGTGTTAATTTCTGTGTATACCAAAGTGACTCGGTTATACAAATATTCTTTTTCCTATTTTTTCCATTATGGTTTATCACTGGATATTGATTATAGTTCCCTGTGCTACCCAGGAGGACACTGTTATTTATCCATCCTATATATAATAGCTTGCATCGATTAATCCCAAACCCTTGATCCTTCCCTTCCCCACTCCACCTTCCCCTTGGTAACTACAAGTCTCTTCTCTATGTGAGTCTGTTTCTGTTTCATAGATATTTTCATTTGTGTTGTATTTTAGATTCCACATATAAGTGATATGGTATTTGTCCTTCTCTTTCTGACTTACTTTGCATAAAATAATAATCTCTAGGCCCATTCATGTTGCTGCAAATGGCATTATTTCACTCTTTTTTATGGCTGAGTAATATTCTATTGTACATATGTACCATATCTTCTTTATTCATTCTTCTGTTGATGAACATTTAGGCTGCTTCCATGTCCTGGCTATTGTAAACAGTGCTGCAGTGAACACTGGGGTGCATGTATCTTTTTGAATAATGGTTTTCTCCAGGGATATGACCTGGAGTGGGACTGCTGGGTCATATGGTAGTTCTACTTTTATTTTTTTAAGGAACACTATACTGTTCTCCTTAAAAAACTAAAAATGGAGATTCATAATTCAAAAAGATATATGCACCTCACTGTTCATTGCAGCCCTATTCAAAATAGGCAGGCAGAGGAGCCTGATGGGCAACAGTCCATAGGGTCACAAAGAGTCGGACATAACTTAGTGACTAACCACACACACCCACACAGAGTTCTCCATATTGGCTGTATCAATTTACATTCCCACCAAAAATGTAAGAGGGTTCCCTTTTCTCCATACCCTCTCCAGCATTTATTGTTTGTAGATTTTTAAATAATGGCCATTCTGACTGTGGGAGGTGATATCTCACTGTAGTTTTGATTTACATTTCTCTAATAGTTAGTCATATTAAGCATCTTTTCAGGTGTTTGTTGGCCACCTGGGTGTCTTCTTTGGAGACATTTCTATTTAGGTTTTCTGCTCATTTTTTTATTGTTTATTTATTTATTTTTTATATTGAGCTGTATAAGCTGGTTGTATATTTTGGAGATTAACCCCTTGTCAGTGGGAAACTATTTTTTCCCACTGTTAAGGTTGTCTTTTTGTCATGTTTATGGTTTCCTTTACAGTGCAAAAACTTTTAAGTTTAATTAGGTCTCATTTGCTTTTGTTTTTACTTTCATTACTCTAGGAGGTAGATCAAAAAAGATATTGCTGATTTATGTCAAAGAGTGTCCTGCCTATGTTTTCCTCTAAGAGTTTTATAGTGGGGCCTTACATTAAGGTCATTAATCCATTTTGAGTTTATTTTTGTATATGGTATTAGGGAGTGTTCTAATTCCATTCTTTTCTGGGTAGCTGTGCAGTTTCCCCAGCTCTAGTTACCGAAGAAGCTGTCTTTTCTCCAATGTATAGCCTTGCCTCCTCTGTTGTAGATTAGGGGACCAAAGAGCAGCCTCTTAGTTTGCTAGTCCTTCTGACCAGCTGGCTTCCTTCTTGACAACTAGATCTTTTGTTGGCTCCTTTGATCTTCCCATTGCTCTTCTTTCTCTATAAATTTCCTTTGCTATCACAGTCCATCCCTATGCAGAGAATTCCCAAACATTTCTTTCTGGCCCAGTCTTATTTTTCTCCACATTTGCCCAACACAGCCTGCGCTGTACCACACTTTCCTACTGGTAAATGTTACTGCTACATTAAACAGTCCTATTTGTAAATGTCAGCACTATTTTAAAGAAATGTATGCCTCCCTTTTCACTCTTGGGTACTCTCACTTACCTTTAACCAACTCATTTGGAAGGCCCATCCTGACTACTGCTCTACCCTGTCTCTGCCCCTAGCTAGGAAATTAGCTGCACTCTCCAAAGTTTCCACCATACCTACTAAAACACTTATGACGTCAAACTAGAAACATCTCATTGTCTACCATATCATTTAAACTATGTCCCTTGTTCTTTATATGTCCTGTAAGTTGGCAGTTGAATCTAGAATCTTGACTAGATTCAAGTTCAGCTTTTTTGTGGTGTGACACTTTCAGAGTCATGGCAAATGATACTTCCTCCATGAACTGCCTTTCTTCCCCATCTTCTAAGATAAACAAAAAGAAACAAATATGTAATCTGGACATTCTTTCCCCTTTCTTTGACTCCTAATGGCAACAACAACTGAGAAACAGCTTATCATCTGTATCTCTTCTGTTGCCAGTTTGACTAGAAACTCCTCAAATTCCAAGGACAGTCTTATCAGACTTTGAAACCACTGAGGTCTCTGGCACAGTTCCCTAAAGGAAGCAAAACTGCATTAGATACTACTTGGTCTGAATTCCAGTTTTCTTTTTTTTTTTCCTTTTCTTTTTACCTTTTTTAAGGAAATGACTTCAAGTACATAAAAACCTGTGGATCAAGCCACAGCTTTATTTCTCTTTCTAAAGTGACATATGTTGACTGAAAATAATATTTCAAGGAAAATTACTACTGTTTCATCATTTCATTTACAGCTCATGGTGACTGTTTAATCTACTTTAGATGCCTTTCCTAATCCTAGATGACTAACATGACAGATGGTGTATTATAATTCTAAACAAAGATTGACTGTTTTTTAAAAAGGGAAATAATAAAATTTGAAGATAATGGTTCAAGAAGCCAGGTATAGGGTTTCATTGAATAAAATAAAGGGGCTACTGTCTACAACTCTCAAGGTTTGGCTAGATCTGTCACTTTCCTAATTTTAAACTTGTTTGCTTTTTTCCTAAAAAAAGAAAAGAAAAGCCATGTCTCAAACACCAGAGGTCATTTGAGAAGAGTGTAGATCAGTAAGAATACTGGAAACTATGATCATACTTAAATGCAGGCTGGCAGCTGGTTCCCTGGACCAGTAATCTTCAGGACTTCTCCCGGTTAAGGGAATTCAATCAAAGGTGGCTCAAACAGCTATGTCAGCTTCAGGATCCATGGGAGAAGAAAAGAGAAGGCCATGATGCCCAGACCAAGGAATTCTAAGAGAATCTGGGTAACCTCTTTGCTAACCACTTCCAATTCTAATTGTTATGTAGCGAGGAGAGCAGCATGATCATGCAGAGTGAAATCAAGGCTTCCGTGTGTGTGTGTGTGTGGAAGCGTGTATGCGCATGCATGCACCCAGTCACTCAGTCATGTTCAACTCTTTGTGACCCCATGGACTGCAGCCCACCAGGCTCCTCTGTCCATACAAGTTTTCAGGCAAGAATACTGGAGTGGGTTGTCATTTCTTCCTCTGAGGGATCTTCCTGATCCAAGGACTGAACTTACATCCCTTGCAGCTTCTGCACTGGCAGGTGTATTCTTTTTTGTTGTTGTTTTTAATTGTTTTTAATCTCATTTTATTTTATTTTTTTGGCAGGTGTATTCTTTATCACTGTGCTACCTGGGAAGCCCAAGGCTCCCTTTATATAATCCAAAACTTAGGGTCTGAACTGGGCGATCCCTTAAGAGCCCAGCCAGATGCAAAGGCATTTCTATACAAAGAAAACTCCACAGGCTGCTTTTGCTGCTGATTGCAGAGACTTGCCTGGTATTGGTCCATTGCTACTAAAATACTTAACCTACTGAGCTGGACTTATATGTCAATTTTTCTTGTGTACAATAAGGCAATTATAAAAGAGACTAAATGCTGGCAATCACAGATTTATCAAAAAAACACCCTAAGGCACTTAAATAGACAGTTCTTTCAAGGAAGTTAATATTTTTAACTTTTCCTAATTTACATTAAAAATGATAAAGAGTTCCTGTCAGCGACATCAAGGTAAACACAAAAAACCCACAGCTATATTTCACATTCTACCACTTACTGCTTTGCCCTACAAATAACTTTGATTGACATAAATTATTCTACATGTAAACATTTTTCTTTGAAGTATTTAAGCACCAAAATCAACATTTTAATTTTTAGTTTCTGCTACTATAGACAAGCTATCTTACTCTTTTAACTAAAACTTAAAACATCATGTAATACTTGGAACTGAATTTGTGGTAAGGGTGAATCCAATGCCCTGGTTTAAATGTCATAAAAACATGTTAAAGTACCTTTTAATAGGGACACTTTAGCAAGGGGTTCATTTAGGTCTTGATCATCCATTTGGGCATCTACAGAGGGGAAAAAAAGAGAATTATAAACAGTAAACTCTATCAGCAAGCTATCCTTTTCAAAATAAGTAAGTGAAACTTACACAGCTATTATATTTGGATCATTGTACATAGTTTTAAAATTTATCCAAATTATCAAGGGAATAATTTGATAAATAGAAATACTGCTTTCCCCCCCGCCAAATACAAATTTTGAAATCTCCACCCACACCAACCTGCATACCTGAACTGCTCAGTAGGCAACAATAACTAACAATAACATCTGCAGAGTTATAGACATTAGGTTAAAACTCACCTGTAGTGTCGTCACTACTTTTCTCCTTGCTTGGACTCAGAGTGTCTGACAAGTCGGATTCCTTTGCTCTTGCCTGGTTTTCTAACAAGTAGAAAAAAAAAAAAGTAGAATCGTGTTAGAATTAAAAAGCTTGTTATCAGTAAAACTGCTTCAGGCTATTCGTGCTCTAAATCTACTGGTATGCAAAATACTTTTAAAATTAACTGAGGTCACTGAAGCTCTTACTTCTTCACCACTCTAGTCCCAAATGGAATGCTGCTTATTACACGGAGCTCAGATTAAATTATAATGTGGATCATGACTGCTGTGCAGAGGGCTGGGGCTTTTGTTCAAGGCTGTCCATTGGCCAACTGGAAACAAAAATGAAGCAAGCTTTGCTAAAGTATTCGGAGAACTGCAACAAATATAGCAAAAATTTCCAGGACAATGTGGACATTGTATGAAGATGAGGAAAGAAAATGATTCTATTATATAAAAACAATAGTTAGGTTGCCTTAGTAATATTTATACTCATTACAAAAACTTTAAAAAATTACCTTTTTTAAATTAAAAGTAACACTGAAAAAAGAACATTAACATTAGCCTTTTATGTTTAAAGAAAATGCAACAGTACCTGAACCACAGGCCTTAAATTCTTTGCTTAAATTGATATTTCCTTAAACTTAAGGACCATTCTCACTACTTAGCCTATTCAATCTATATTAAGATATAGCTTAAGCCCATCACTTCTAAGGAAGTGTTCATTTCTCCAGCATGCTGCTCCTTTTTTTACTGTATCTTCTCTGGGACATAAGTTTTTTACCATTAATCATGTTCTATTTTATAGAATTCTCTGTATATACATATATCTTATTTCCTCAGTGAGATGATAAATTCAGTAGATATATACTTTTTACAATGTTATGCACTTGACTATACTGTTTCTGGTAATCTGTATCAAAGACGTAAATGTACATATCCATTTATAGTACTTTTTCCTAAGGAAATAATAGGCAACATATAGCATATATCCATAAGGATGCTCACTGCAGCATTGTTCATTACTGAATGGAAAACATTCAAGATAGACTCAGTACTATTTTAGGGATGCACATTTACTTTCTAACTTCACACTGTCATAAACTGTGTGAAAAATTAGAGTGAACATATATTGTTTTCATAATCAACTAAATCAAGAGATATTTTTCATCTGAGAAGTAGTCAGAAACATATCTAAAACCATCTCTGTCAAAATAATACAATATTGAAATATAACTTATTATGGCTATTCCATATAAGAATAGCCTAAATTTGTGGCTTAATTTGTGTAATGAGTGATAGATTATAAGAGGCTTTTTGCATCTTTTCTCACTGCCATTTCTAATCAAAGACCAACTGCTGAGAGACAATGAGCTTGGATTAGAAATGAAGTCACCAATCGCTGAGGCCCATGGGAATCTAATCTGAGACCTCTAGTGTGCATTCACAGTGTGTTCTAGTTAGACATTTCTGAATGTACTAGTTTTGATCACAAAGTTACAGTCTCAAATAAGGGAGGTGAATACATCTTATCAATATATAGAAAGAAAGGAAACCATTCTGTGGGAACAGAAAGGAAAAGACAAAAAAGACTCTTTTAATTTCAATATTCTTGGCAATTTTATGATCAAGATAGCAAGGTAAACCAAGAGGAATGTATTTTCAGACATATTCTTCTGGCTTACAAATAACTTTTATTTCCTATCTGGAACAGCAGCTAGGAAGGTAAAATTGCCTTAGAGGTTTCCATTAAGATCTTAGAATATAAGCTCCATGAATGCAGGAATCTCTGTCTGTTTTGTTAACTGCTATATCCTCAGTCCATAGAACAATGCACAGTATGTAGGAGGTGCTCCAAAAAGAGATGATTAAAGACACAGTTTACTGCAAGTCAAGTCATGAGCCATCATTGTTGTGTCTGACACTACAGTTATTATATGGAGGCAAATCAAATCTATTCAAGATGAAACACAGGACACAACAAACGAGTGACAAGAATCTCTACTATTTAAAACCTCTACTCTTCAGCTATGAAGCAGCACCCAACTTCCCTGTATTAAAATTCATTCAGTTCAGTTTAGTTGCTCAGTTGTGTCTGACTCTTTGCGACCCCATCAACCACAGCACCAGCTGATTTTTTCTGCAGTACTTACTTATTAAAATGCATAGCAATAGTATGTATAAGAGGGGTAAACAGAAGCACAGCTACCAATATCAATACCAAATTGCTCCCAAACTGGCAAGTCTACCATAAGGTGACTGTTTTCACTATATCTTCAAGTAGACATAACAACGGATGGGCAAAACAAATATAGGCCAGTTCTTATACCTGGAACCATTATTTGCAAAGAAAGCAAGGTCAAGAATCAAGGGGGGAGAGAAGAACTAACATTTGCTAACAGAAAGGTGCCTCCTGCTTACTGCTTATGCAGTACTTCATTAAATTTCCATAAGACCCTGTAAGTTATATACTGTCTATCCCATTTTACAAATGAGGAAACTGAGGTTTAAAGTACTAAAGTAAATTGCCTGAGGGCACAAAGCCAGTGGCTGGTAGAACTGGAAATTAAAAGCCAGTTTGACAAATTCTTGTTTTTTTTTCTACTGCTATCTTTAAATCTACCATAAACATAAAATTACTGCAAGTTGAGTCAGGGCTTAAACAGAAGGCATGGGCATTAGGTGAAATACCTGAAGGAAACATGAATACCACCAAGACTTGTAACAACTAGTAACTGGCAATTTCTAGCAACTGATATTTTTCAATGCAGAAAATTCTATTAAAAACATCACCAGTGAAAGTATTTAAAAAATAAAATAATCCAGCCAATTCCAAAAGAAAATACTTTATAGCTAGATATAAAGCATTTAAAAGGTAATTTATTTCAGCCATGTTGGTTTGTTACAGGGATTAATATACCTCTGCATGCCAACTGTGGTTAGTGCCAGTAAAATGCTCACAGCTGACAGAAAAATCTCTGGGTATATAAAACTTCTATCTGTATTAGCATTCATTCCTTCCCCCCTTTTTTTATTCAGTTGTGCCACTAGGCTTTGCAGAATCTTAGTTCCCCAACCAAGGACTGAACCCAGGTCTTGGAGTTACAGTGCTGAGTCCTTACTGCTGGGCTGCCAGGGAACTTCCTGTATTACCATTCTTAAAGGGTGGATTCTATTCACTTGCCTGGACACACTTGCTACAATTTATTTAATAAATGTCCTTATTACTGGAGGCTTGTGTTTTCCTTTTGCTTTTAAAACAGTACAAACATCCTTGTACATCTGTCCAATTTGTTCTTTTTTTTTTTCAATTTGTTCCTTTTTAAGATTAAAAACTCAGAAGTGAAACTGCTATTAAATTGTTAAGCATGCTCTTTAAAGTTTTCAATATATATTTTATAGCCAGATTTCAAAAGGAAATCATAACATTTTCTTTTTCAATAATGACATTATGTAATTTCAAGGAAATAAATTCTAATTCATAATGCATTAAACAGAAGCACAAAGGTAGCAAGATACCTTTAATTAAATCTTTAATTAAAATTAATTTAATATCTTTAATTAAAAGCAGCACTGATTTTTTTAAGGCTACATTACATCAAAGCGTTGGCTATTTAACCAACTAATCTGAACAGGTATTTAGTTGGTGAAGTAAAAGCTATTTTAAAATCTGTTCTCATCTCACTTTAATAAGATGAAATAAATTGCCATACGTACTAAAAATAGCTCACTGTTCTGAAACTCAATGCCTGTTTGCCAGAACAATATTAGTGATGCATATTTTATGCATTCTTTCCCCAAATATGGCATGTGCCGTGCACAAAATTCCAAGTGGAAGCCACCAGATAGTTGGGATAACACTATCCTTTTATATATTTTTAAAAGCCAAATGGATCCAGTTACTGTCATAAAACAGAATTAATGAAACTGAGAACAGCAACCTTTTATTATTCATTGTTTTAATGACCCAAATGATTGTGAATTTAGTTTTAAATTTTATATTGACATGTTCTCCTGATAAAAGTCCTAGAATGAATAATGAACATATTCCACTAAATTTATTTGCCCAATTTCCCTACACATAAAAGTGACTTGACAACATGATGCTTTAAAACTTATTTTTCTTTACTAAGGTCTGACAATTTTTATAGAAAATAATTAACAGAATAAATTACTTCAAGCAATTATAGGACTATTCATCATAAAATATAAGGTTCTACATAATCACTTTTGTTTAAATCAAATTGAGATGCCAGCAATTAAGATAACATTAAATATCATAATATTAAACGTACAATAACTAGAAAAAGAGAACTGAAAACATTTTTCATCTGTTTCAAACAAGTTTACACTTTATTTGATTAAAAATTTTAGATCAAAGCTGAAAATAATGCTGGAAGTGACACAGAGATCACAACAAATCTTTAGTAGCTAATGAAACCTATTCTAAGCATTAAAAAAACCCCACACATATATACCCTTTTAAAAAGAAACCTTCCAATGAACATATCCTTCTTAAGACAGAACTCCAACTGTTTTATATTATTATCTGGTACTGTTACTGGATTGTGAGCTATAAGACATAAATTTATGGTTAAAGTGCTATGACCTTGGAAATGTACACTAACCTTCATTATCCAAGAGTTGTAAAAACCCACAGAAAAATGCCACAGAAACCCCACAGAAAACCAACCTTTTGAAAGCTTTGTCTCTTCTACTACTTTGGTTAGGTGCCCCTCGACGATCAGCTTCTCTGCCAAAGAAAATAAACGTTACTATCCAAGCCCAAACTGAGCAGCAAGCATTTCCCTGAGCAGGGCAGTGTAACACATTCCATGACCAAATTTAAAGATGATAGCATTACTCCCATGACTAGGCTTGAACAAAAACTTGAACCTGGAAGGGGGAACTAAGAGAACTTGAACTATACTAGAGGAATCAGGTTAATGCAGAAACCCGAGAGTAAGAAAAAAAATCTGCCTTCAGTTTTCATTAATTTTCGCCTTATTTTATTATTAAAAATCTTTTTTTCACCTTATTCTAATAGCCTTGCACTTTTTAAAAGACTCAGAAAAAACAAAGCAACACTCTTTAAATCAACAATATTAACTTGAAATAAAGGAATTCTAGGAAGGTATTTCATTTAGATAAAGAATACAAATCATACCAACAGCTTACATTTCCCTATTGATAAAATTTAGCAGAGATGTCTGTATGACATGTTTCAGTAAAATGAATCATTTTAGAAGAGATAATTATTTAAATAAGTTAAAAAAAATTTCTATGGGGCATTCATTCTCTGTAAATGTATAGTGTAGTTTCTTTATCATTTATTTAAAGTTGGATTTTCATATTCTACCTTTCCAGTCAGGAGGATAATATATCTAATTCTGTATATCCCATTATCTGATGATGTAGGTCACTTGGTCTCCTTCAATTTACACTTTTGCAATATCTGCAAAATATTTTGCAATAATTTCTCTATTTTTCTACCCTTCAACCCACTGCAAGTTGGTCTATAACCATCACCCAACCACTGAAACAGCTCTGAGATCACTCATAATTTTCATTTCATATAGGCTCTGTGTGGCATGTGGCACTGTTTGCTCCTACCTCCTTGATAAAAAGAAAAGACAAAGTCTTAAATTTAGATAATTTTAAAAGGCATTAATCATACAAGATATATAATATAAGATGTTTTACTCAGCCTCTGTTTTACTCCTTTCCATTCCTGAAAAATCACTTCCCACAGACAACAACTTTTAACTTTTAGTCATTTCTTTTGGTATTTACATTCACATTTCTAAGTAATATATTGCTATTTCTTAACTCTTCCATTTTAGGCATTATTTACTGATAATCTCTTACAGATGAGTAAGCTCTCATATTCTAATATTCTCAATAAGAGTTACATTTTGTCCATCTGCAATCAGAATTTATGACTATTATCTGCATCTGAGTTATATGCCATAATTATATTTTTCTTCTTACACATTTAGTGTTTCTAGAACTTATAATGTCCTGTTTTGCTTTGCCAATTTAAAAAATATATCTCAAACACAGCCCAAGTTCTTACAGAACCCTAAAACTCTCAATATCATCAAACATACCAGGAATCTATCATATATTCCTGTCTCTCCCTTCCCCTAGTCCTTTCACCTTCCTGCTCCAGCCTGAGCTATATCCTGTGCAGAATCCCATGCTCCCAGACTCCAAATATTGCTTTTAATTATTTGTTTTTGGTTGCACTGGGTCTTCTGGTACTGTGTGCAGGCTTTCTCTAGTTGCAGAGAGTGGGGACTACACTCTAGTGGCGGTGCATGGGCTTCTCATTGCGGTGGCCTCTCTTGTGGAACATGGGCTCTAGGCACACAGGCTTCAGTAGTTGCAGCGCTCGGGCTCAGTAGTTGTGGCACATGGCCTGAGTTGCTCCACAGCATGTGGAATCTTCTCAGACCAGGGATTGAACCCGTGTCCCCTGCATTGGCAGACAGATTCTTTTCTACCGCGCCACCAGGAAAGTCCTCCTCTTCCTATTTTATTCTCTTATTTTAGTGTAACATATCCTCTGATAATTTCTGGATAAGAGATTGATAGAAGGTAAATGCTTTGTAACTCTGCTCCTCTGAAAATGCTACTGTTCTATGTTCACATTTGACTGATGGTTTGACAGATACATAACTTCACAGGAAAAACTGTCATTCAGAATTAAAAAAAAAAAAAAGTTTCACTGTCTTCTAGCTTCAAATTGGAAGGTAAGTCTACTGGCAGTCAGATCCTTGGTCCTCAGTATGCGTGGTAGAGATTTCTTGTGCTCAGCAGCACCTGGTTTGCCTAACCTTTCTGGGCACCTGAGAAGACTGCACATTGCAAGTCCCTAACTGAAGAAGGTCCATGTGATTGGTTCTAGCCAAGGCGGAAGCATTTAAAAGAGAGCAGGACTTTTCTACACTTGTTCCTTTCCCACTCTAGAAACAAAGTGTTCAAATTAATCTCCATTCCTGAGTAACAATATGGAACAGAATGTTCTCCCTCACCATGGACATGTAGCATAAATGAAAAGGAAATATTTGTGAGGTCCCTGGTGGCCTAGTGGGCTTCCTGGGTGGCTCAAATGGTAAAATATCTGCCTGCACTGCAGAAGACTGGGTTCGATTCCTGGGTGGGGAAGACCCCTGGAGAAGTATTCTTGCCTGGAGAATTTCATGGACAGAAAAGCCTGGTGGGCTATAGTCCCTGGGGTTGCGAAGAGTCAGATATGACTGAACAACTAACACTTTTACTTTCACTTTGGTGGCCTAGAGGTTAGGATTCTGGGCTGTCACTGCCGTGCCCTGGGATCAATTCCTGGTTGGGGAACTAAGATCCCACAAGCCTGTGACACAGCAAAAAAAAAAAAAAAAGTAAATGGCTGAATTAAGCTGTTATGATTTCAGGGTTTACTTATCACTATATTATTATTTAGTTTATTATGATTAATAATACAGTATGAGATCCTTTGTTTCTCCCTGGCAATTTTCAGAATCTTTTCTTTATCTCTGGTGTTCTTAAATTTCATGTACCTCAGTATATGGTCTTTTCTAAAAAGAACTGGGGTTAAATTCACATAGTGTATTAATTTTAAAGTGAGCAATAAAGTGGTATTTAGTATATTCACTATAATATGGAACTACCAGCTTCATCTAGTTCCAAAATACTTTTATCACCTCAAAAGAAAACTGCATACTCATTAAGAATTTTCTTTCCATCCTCTAAAATCTCTAACCTCAAAATCTCTAACTCTACTGTCTGTCTGTTTTATGTTCTAAAGTAAGTTTCTACTCTCATTCTCTCTGTTCTTGTGTTTTATGTCTTTTATCTTTTACTATGAATGGACCCATTCATCATACTTAATCAAGTTTACTGCCTCCTTTTTAAAACTCTTTTCATTTGGCTTCTAGGATACTACTCATTCCTACTTCTTGTGTATGTGCTTGCTCATTCCTTTTTTCTCAGGCTTTCACTGACTTTCTTTTCTTCTGATTATGATCTAAATATGTATAAAGAAATCAAAAAGCAAAAAAGAATTTCATTTAAAAGTGGGCAGAATATCTGAACAGAGATCTTTCCAAAGAAGATATACAGATGGCCTATAGGTACATGAGGTCTTCCCTTGTAGCTCAGTTGGTAAAGAATCTGCCTGCAATGCAGGAGACCCAGGTTCAATTCCTGGGTTGGGAAGATCCCCTGGAGAAGGAAATGGCAACCTACTCCAATACTCTTGCCTGGAGAATCCCATGGACAGAGGAGCCTGGCAAGCTACAGTCCATGGGGTCACAAGAGTTGGACACAACTTAGCGAAAGGCAATGTAATAGGCACATGGAAAGATGCTCAATATCACTAATCATCAGGGAAATGCAAACCAAATCCATACGATAATCTCATTTCACATCTGTTAAAATAGCTATCATCAAAAAGACAAGAAATAACAAGAATGTGGAGAAAAGGAAACCCTTACACATTATTAGTGGAAATGTACATTGATGTAGGCACTATGAAAAACAGTATGGAGATTCTTCAAAATAGAACTACTATATGATCTAGCAATTCTACTTCTAGGTATTTACTTGAAGAAAACAAGAACACTAACTGGAAGAACAATAATGCACACCCTTATTCACTGTAGCATTGTTTACAACAGCCAAGATAAGGCACCAACAGATGAATGGACATGTATATATAATGGAGTATCATTCAGCCATAAAAAGAGAATGAAGTCTTGCCATTTGTGACAACACGGGTGGACCTCAAGAGCACAGTGCTAAGTGCTAAAACAGTGCTAACACAGTGCTAAGAAGTCACAGGGAAAGACAAATGCCATATGATCTCTCTCATATGTAGAATTTAAAACAAACATACAAGCTCATAGATAAGAGAACAGACTGGTGGTTTGCAGAGGTGGGGAGTGGGAGCTGGGAGAAGTGAATGAAGGGAATAAAGGGGTAAAAAGGGGGTAGGCAAACTGTAGACTTCAAAAGTCATATGTGAAAAAATTAATAGATATGATCTCATATAAGTTAAATTTTTCTACATGATCAAACTCACCATAAACAAAGCTAAAGAGCAAGTGCAAACATGGGAAAATGTTTGAAAAACAATTAACAGATAAAGGTTATTAATCACTTCATTCATTCATTGAACCATTAACCATTAACTATTATGTGCCAGACACTGTCCCAGGTGTTGGAAACATTAGACTGAACAAATGACAAAATCCCTGCCCTCCTGGTTCTTATTCTAATGGTGCTGGGAAGGCAGGAAATAAAGAAATAAACAGTATGTCAGAAGGCAGTCATAGCCAAAAACAAAGCAAGGAATGAGGAAAGGGCCTGGGAAGAAGGCAAACAAAGATATGACACCTTCCAAAAGCTAATAACAGAAAGTCAAATAACACAGGGGAAAGAAAGGCAAAGAACAGGAACACAGAATCCACAGGCCAAGAAATGCAAATGTCTAGTAAACCTGAGAAATCCACGGTCTACCCACTAACACAATACCATGGCATTGTTTGCCCATCAGGCTGGCAATATACTGAGTTTCAGTACTGACTGAGACGGGGTGGGTAAATGAGTAGCTTTCTGTCCTTTCAGGGGAAGTGTAAATCAGTATGATTATTTTGTTCAGAGGGCAATTTGGCAGGAACTATCCCAATGCTGAAAGTTGAGGCCCTTTGATGCCACAACCTCTCTTCTGCACATCACACTGGAAAGAGA